GGGCTGACATATTAATGGTACCTTTGGGTGTCAAATATGAGATTGGACATGTGGAACACTTGAATCAAATGCCAAGGCTAAGTGGCATAAATGCTATTCTCAGTGCTAGCATATCTCCAAGTTAAGAACAAAACTTATAAAGGTCAAGAGTGAGACTCTTTTAAGTGGTCAAAGATGTGATAAAATGACTAAAATAGAATGGAAAATTTAATTGCTTACCACTCCACTTAAGCCATGAGCACCACAATCAATTTCCCTTTTTGAGGTAGTAGTTACTTTTAAGCACTTTCTTGATGAGCCTTTTTAGCACACTTGAAGCCCATAATTACTCCCACCTAAGCCTACTAACCCCTAGTCTCAACCCCAACTCAGTTTGGAAGCACCACTATTCAATATTGGGTTTTAAACTTAGTCTCGGACCTAATCTTGGATCTTAAACTTAATTTCATCTGATAAATTCTTTATCATTCTGATTGTAATTTTAGGGGATTCTCTAGCTTACAACACCCCAATGAGTTGGTTCCTTACAACTCTACCACCCATAGAAAAAGTTCAATGCCCACATTGAACAAACCTATTAATCCTACAACTTGTTGACCTTGACTCTAGGGCATTCTCACTTAATGGAGCCTCCTTAGCCAGGAGCTCATGACAACAAGACTATACACCTCCCTTACCTCACCCTAGTAGGGGGTTGCCAATGGGACTTGAACTCCTTAGGACTTAAACTCAACCTTCATAAAATATGTTTAAGGATTTGACATCTTCTCAAGAGAGTTGGCTGAAGCTTCTTATGCTTGGTCTACTTAATTAAACCCATGCTAACTAGCTTACCTTTAGTGTGCCTTCGAAACCCACATTACTCTACTAGATCTTGAGCATTTGCTAGGTTCTCTTTTGCCTCCCATGTTGCTATGTTTAGTGGAAACATTTTCTATTTCATATGGAACTCTTTCACCTTGTGTCTTTGTCATTTACTCTTACTCACATTGAGGATGGCCTAAACTTCATATTCCTCATCATTTTGGATAACCTCGGGTAAGGGTCTCATTTAGTTTTTGCGAAACGGGTCCTCAAAGTATGGCTTGAGTAAATTGATATGGGACACATAGTGCATCCTTCCCATTTCTTAAGGACATTTGAGATGGTAAGCCACTTTATCAATTCAGGCCTTACTCCCATAAGATCCTGCAAACATGCTTAAAAAACTTAAGATCACTTCATTCTAGAAATATATACATTTTACCTTTGGGTTAATTTTTTACTAATTCTATTTGATAATTTTAGGTTTTTGATGTTTCAGCCATACCTTCTCCCCAAGTTGGAACTCTATGTCTTCACATTTCTTGTTCACATATTTAGTTTGCCTCTGTTAAGCTCGTTTCAAGGAATTCTTCATTAAATTCCAAATGTTAAGTCTTTCTACTATTAATGCCTCCATTATAGGTAACTCTCTATGATACTCAACATGCTGAGTTTTACAAGACATTCAATAGTTTACCCATTAATAACTTCCTATGGACTCACCTTGATACTCAAATATGGTGAGTTGTTATAATAGATTTTCACAATCCTAAATAACCTACCCAATCCGTTTAGTGTTTAAAGATAATCTTTTAATTGCCTATTTAACTTTTCTGTTTGTTCATCTATCAAGAAGTGTTATTACTACAATATTTGACTCCATACTTAATACATATCTAGGAGTGATAGGCCATATTGAATTTTAACTTGGTGCAATATTGCTTTAGAAGAGTTCTCTAGAACTTATTAGTGAAAGTTTTATCTAAATCTAAAATAATTTCTTTTGGCCTTTCCTACACCAAACCATTTGTTCAAAAAACAACTTTGCCACACCTTTCGTATTCAATTCTATTATAATGGGTATAAAATGTGCCATTTTTGAAAATTGATCCACCACTACAAATATAACATTAAACCTTTAACTTAGGGGGAGTCCTACAATAAAGTCTATTCTAAGACATTTTTATGAACGATCTAGGATTTTAAAGCTTTGCAAAAAGTTCTCACTAGCCTTAGTCATGGCTTTCACTTGCTTATATGTTGGCCATGTTTTTATAAAGTCTTAAATATCCTTAATTATATATAGTGAGTGATATATTCTTTAGAGCAAACCCATTATTTTGGGCATTTCACCATGTTTTATAAAAAATTTATCATAACATTATTTTAAAACTACTTTCCTTAATTCACCTTGTTTATAGAACATATACTCTTATCTATTTATAATAAATAAGTTTATTATGTTTTACATACCTAATTTTTAGCAGCTCACTTTATTGTTAAGAATTTTATGCCTCTTTGTTTCTTAGCAACACCTCCTATTCTTTAGCAACACCTTATATTTTGCACCAATACTTACTGTGCTAGACCATTATCCTTATATATCTTTTACACATCGTTCTAGAAGGTTGTTGTTGCACTAAATGTTAAGTTCATTTTACCACTTAGAGTATTTGCCATGATATTGCTCTTTTTGGGTTTATAAAATATTTCACAATTGAATTTAGCCAAAGCATTCACCTATCAATCTTGTTTCCTTTAAAGTTAAGTTTAAAGGTGTTCCCAACTTTTTGTCACTTTTCATTAAGAGTAAGCACAAAAATGTTATCTTAGTTCCTTTAGTATTATAGACACTAAGTTCAAGTAAGAGTCTTTGGCCTTATATTACTCTACTTTTAGATTTTAGGCCTCCACTCTAAATTGTTCTCCTTAGGCATTTGGTAATATCATTAGGTTTCTACATTATCCATGCAAAGTTAGCATAAACCAATTGAACCAATCCATTCTGAAGATCATATCAAATCTTGCCATATCCAAAATAGTGAAATCCATGTCCACTTTTTAGATCCCTACTTCAACCTTTATTTGTTGAAGTACCTCATTGGTGCTTTGGTTACCTTGAATAAACTATATAATCCTTGGTTCTCTTAGCCATTGCACCATTAGTCTAGTTTGCCGGCTTATGTTTGTAGCCACAAAATTATTTTAAGCACTTGTGTCAATAAGAATCTTAACAGAGTTACTTTTGAGCTTCCCTTGGGGGCTAATAAATATCACAAGTGATTTTTTACCAAAGTTGCTCATGTAATGAATAACTTTGAGTTAGGGACTAAAATACATACCTTAGTTTAGACTTCACCCAAGGTTACTAACCCTTAATTCTAACTTGGTTTGAGAGCACCACTAGAGAGTGCCTTCAAAACTAACCTCACTATCTTTATTATACTTTTGGAATCCTTTATAGTCCTTTGCCCATAAAATTTTACCCTAACAAGTCTTAGATTCAATTTGGACTCAGTTTTAAACTGTAAACAACTAAAGAGAACCACTTGAGAGATGATCTATTAAAGTTCAAATATATAAAGAAAGAGCTTATGAATAAGAGTGCACCTTTTTTTTGAATCGATTAAGGGTCTTATAATATTTGGGGTTAAGTGTCCTTAGGTTTGAATAGTATTGCCTAAATGACCTCATGAGAAGTCCAAATCCAAAAGCTTATATTGAGTATTAGATATTAATTGGCTTCACACTATATATTGAGATTGACATCTGATAAATTTAATTTGCCTCCAGTTGGGCCCTACTCTTCAGAGATTAATATCTGGCAGATCTAATTTACCTCTAATTGGGTTCAACTTGAGGGGTAGGGTGTCAAGAGAGTAGGGATCTCAAGAGAGTTGTGGCTCCCAACTTTGGAAACATGGTGAATTATAATCAACCAAATAGAACAACTTGAGAGATAATCTATTAGGGTTCAAATATAAAGGGCCCATGGATAAAAGTTTTTCCAATCTATTAATTTTTTAAAGATATTTAGTGTTAAACATCCTTGGGTTTGAATAGTATTAGAAATCCAAAAGCTTATAAAATATAAAGATAACTAGAGGAGGATGGTCTAAAGTCTGTAAATACTACAAAGTATATAGATCATCTAATTTAGATTGAACCATTCGTTAGAGGTTTTTACCCCAATTAATATAATCCTAAATAAAAAGAAATATAATACCAAAGGAAACTAGCAACTCAGCAATGGAAGTCTCTTTAGCCATGTGTAAGTCCCATTTAAACATAATACTAAAAGAGCATAACTGGCTTGGGAATTGGAGCTCTTTTGTTGCAGCCCCAGCCAACTCACCCTAGTTTCCTTCAGTCCAATCTAGTCCAAATTCAGTCCAGAGGAATAGAGAGTCCAAGGCAGCCAGCCAGCCAACCAAATTTCCTCACTTTTTCTGTCTACTATTTGTTGCCTGTTTGCTGGTATTGTGTGCTAGCCAGCAAAGAAAGACCCCCTTTTTTCTGTGTGACACCATGTGTTGGAATTATGCATTGTCTGTCTAGTAGGATGCTTTCAAGCCACACACACACACATAATACACAAAACTTGTCATTCTCTCTCAGCTCAGGGATTAAATAAAGTACACCAGGCTTTGGAATGAATCTGAGAGAGAAGGGAGAATAAAGTTTCACCCCTTGCAAACAAACAAATCTCATCCTTCCTCAACTGCACGGACGCTGATGTGCCTCTGTACGGAATTTAAGTGCTGTTGTACGCCACGTCTCTAAAGGCAGAGTTTGGCAGGAGCAAGTCACAATTGCAAGTGGTGCTGTCTGTCAATTGAGTCGAGTCTCCGTTCTAGCAGAAATCTTTTTCTCCATTTTTTTTTGTATATTCGAATATTTGTCTTTTTTATTTGTAGTTTTTGACATTCATTCCCTATTAACCCCGTTCTTCACAGATTTCCAGGAACAAACCAGACAAAGGAGAGAAAGTTGGTGGACTATAAAACTAAGTTCTTTGTTTGCTTGCTGCATACATTTTCTACAAGATATTTCTTACAAACGGAAAGTGGGAATCATATACGAATTTGGCAGTGAACCAAATGAAAAAATAACATTTCATCCAGTGAAGTGAATTGGAATTGTTTTGAAAGAGCTGGCCTTTGGCATTGATTTCCCAAAGTAGATTGGAGGTCATTCTCACCCAGTACCACGTAGATGTAATGTAGGGCGCTTCCAGCTTGTAATGCCGGAACGTAGGAGGGAAAGGAGTGAAAGCTAAATAACTAGCTCCTTGGATTGGATCAGGTACGAGGCGATCGATCGGCACTTGGGTCGCTCCAAGCTGCGACTTTGGCCACTGCCCACGAGATTTCTGGGTGGAATCGCCAGACCCATCAAACGGTAAATGGGAGAAACCCATCGATTTCTCTCAAACGGCCAGTTTGACGATTTTGCGGCGCCCACACCACGATCACCACCACGATCACTGTAGCTACAAGAAAGGGATCGCCAATCCCTCCGCTAGCTGGCTCGCATTCCCCCCCTTCTCATCACTATCACCATCTTCTCTTTGTTTGTTTTCTCTTTCTTTGTTATTTTTTCGAAAGTAGTAAGAGCTCTCTCTCTCTCTCGCTCTCTCGCTCTCGCTCTCTCTCTCAATCTCGACTTTGATTTGATCCATCGGCGCCAAGAACAGAGTCGCGAGCTCGGTCTTCCTAGTGGGTTTTGGATCTGGATGCCTGCGAGGCTCGGGGGGAACAGCAATGGATGGATCGAATGTGGGTGCTCGAGATGGAGGCGACCCACATTGGGGATATCCGGCGAGCCACACCCTGATCTAGCAGCTAGAAGAGAGAAACACCCATCGATCCGATCGGCTCGATCGAGCGACGCCTCCCAATGGGCGGCAGTGGCATGCTCAACAGCCAGCTCTCCAAGCCCACGGGCTTCTTCGGCCTCCGGCTATGGGTAGTGATTGGAATCGGCGTTGGCGTCTTCATCGTTTTCATCCTCTTCCTCCTCTCGGTCTGGCTCGCCTCCTCGCGCCGCCGGAGGAAGAGCTCCAGCCCATACCATCGCAAATTCCCGCCGCCACCGCCGCCTCTCTCCTCCTCCTCGGGGGGCGCCACGCCCGCGGCGCCGCCGTCGCTCCACCGCATCCCCGCCGTGTCCAAGGAGATCAAAGAGGTCGTCCCGATCGCGCTGCCCAGCTCGGGCACCGCTGACTCGGTCCTCCTCACCATCTCGGACAAGACCTCCGACTCCAAGTCCGATAAGGTCTACGTCCACGTCGGATTCAATCGCCGCGCCGCCGCCGCCGCCAATGCCTCCACCTCCTCCGCAGGCTCCACCGCGATCGTCGGGGTGGAGATGGGCGGTAGCCGGCGGAGGAACAGCTCCGAGATCACGGAGGAGTCCTCCGCCGCCGCCGCCAAGAATCTCCAAATTGTCCGGGCTGGCGGAGCCTACTACTCGGACAGCCCGGTTGCGGCGTCCACGACCACAACCGGATCGCACGGCTGGAGTGGGGATTCCGGGGCTCTGGTGGAGAATTTGAATAACACCCCCACTAGTGGCCCTGGCGGGGGCCCAAGTGGGGAGAATAGCGTGGTGTCGCGGCTGGGGTGGGGGCATTGGTTCACGCTCCGGGATTTGGAGGCGGCGACGTGTGGTTTCTCGCCGGATAATGTGTTGGGGGAGGGCGGCTATGGGATTGTCTATCGCGGGTGCTTGGGCGATGGAACTCCAGTGGCGGTCAAGAGCTTGCTTAACAACAGGTAAGTTTTCGATCGATCCAGTAGAGAAAAATCTCTCTTTTCGTCTGGTTTTCTCGTGTCCCACTCGCTCTTCTTGCGAATGATTTGAGCTTCTCGTTATTTTGGCTTGTTTGTTGTCCTGGAAGAAGATCTTTGGAATTCTTTCGTGTGGAATTCACATCTTCTTTCGGTTTTTGCTTTTGCTTTCTGCTTCCACAGCTGAATTGTATGTTTGTTTCTTTCGAAGCTTTTGCTCGGGCATTGCTTGTCTTGTGGCTGTTGCTTGTTGTCTACTCCTTCCGGCATTTTGTGAAGTCCCATCTACGTTATACTTTTTCTTTCGAAAGCTTGCTTTCTTCTTTTCGACTATTCTAGCTTTGTTGTCCTCTTTCAGCCTTTCCGAGATTCTGTAGCAATTGCTTCATTGATTCATGCCTTTTGATCCTCTGTTTTGTTTTGTTTTTGATCGTAGTGGTCAAGCCGAGAAGGAATTCCGAGTAGAAGTAGAGGCCATCGGTCGGGTGAGGCACAAAAACCTGGTGCGTTTGCTCGGCTACTGCGTGGAGATAAATTACAGGTACGTCGAATTCTCGTGAAAGATTTTTTCACTTTGGATGACGAACTTCTACAGGATGCTGGTATATGAGTACGTAGACAATGGTAATCTGGAGCAGTGGCTTCACGGCCCAGCCTCCATTCTCAACTCTCCAACATGGGAAGTTCGGATGAAAATCGCTCTTGGAACAGCCAAAGCGTAAGCTTTTCATTCTCAATCGTCTTGGGTCTGTATAAACTCTCTCGATCTTTTCTCACAGGCTTGCTTATCTACACGAAGCTCTAGAACCCAAAGTTGTCCACCGCGATATCAAAGCCAGCAACATCCTCTTAGACGCACACTGGAATGCCAAGATCTCCGACTTTGGTCTCGCAAAGCTGCTCGGATCCGACAACAGTCACGTAAAAACCAGAGTCATGGGGACTTTCGGGTATGAGAATTCAATCCTCTTTGCTCGCGAACGATCAAAGTTTTTGTTCTTTGTCGCAGCTATGTCGCTCCAGAGTACGCTAACACTGGTCTACTCAACGAGAGAAGCGACGTTTATAGCTTTGGAGTTCTTCTCATGGAGATGATCACTGGGAGAGATCCAGTCGATTACTCACGACCTTCGGCAGAGGTAAAGAATCTCTAGTTTTTCTCATCGATTCTTAGATTTGCTCTCTCGATCTTTTCTAGGTGAACTTGGTAGATTGGGTGAAGCTCATGGTAGCAAGTAGGCGATCGGAAGAAGTTGCCGATTCCCGCCTAGATGCCAAGCCATCGACGAGAGCTCTCAAGCGAGCGCTTCTTGTGGCTCTCCGCTGCGTTGATCCGGACGCGATCAAGAGACCCAAGATGGGATACATCGTTCACATGCTGGAATCTGACGATTTCCCTTACAGAGAGGTAGAAATTCTCATCGATCGAGAAAGAAAACCTTCGTTTTCTTGTGCAGGAGACGAGATTATCCAGCAGCGCGATGAGCAAGCGCACCGATTTTAGGCAGGAGCAAATGAGCAGCGAGCTCTCGGAAGGGATGGTTCCTTCCTCCTCTTGTAAAGAAACAGGAGGAGAAGCTACTCTTTAAAGTGGAAATATATTCGTAGTATATTCTAGATTTGCAGCCCTAGGTTTTGATCCAACGGTGAGACTGCGATGATTTAATGTGCACCGTGGATTCTAGGGCTCTTGTTCTAGCACTAGGGCTTGTGTGATGCCGCCGAGGATCTGCCTTCTTCCTCGCAGATGATGAGAAAAGAGATCCAATTCCGATCAAAGCATGAGGCTTACAGGAAATTCGAGCTTTTTAAATCTGATGCATCGACCGCTTTGCTCTTCTTTTGTATTCTTTTCTCTGTGATGACAAAAAGAGATGACGAGTCTGAGCTTTCATCTTTCCTGGCGTGCCCAATGGCTATCGCGGAGCAATGTTCTATTGTTCTTCGTGCTCTGGCTATGGAATCGCGCCGGAAGAAGCTGGATTTCTCTTTGAAATTCTGCTAGTAGTGAAGCACGAATCGAGGCATTTGTCTGAGAGAAGTTCTTGTGATATTTGTAAAGAGCTGTTCTTCCTTTTCCTCCGAGCGATCTCCCTTGGATGATGAGAAAATTACGACGGTCTTCAGAGAAATCTCGTGATAGACAAAACTTTGAACAAGAAAATCTCTGACAAGTTGAAGGATCACACACTTTTTCATCTCTCACCTCTTGATTCATTTAGTTTACAAGACTAGAACAAAACCAAAACTGTAGTCACGATAGGAAAGAAAAAATTCACTGATTTATCTGCTGCTACTTCTTCGATCGCGCCTGTCGATGGAAGTGATCGATTGCGGCATGGACATTCCAACCGATGCTACAATTTCTGATAAAACCAGAGGATCGAAGTTCTAAGAACCAAGTAGAAAGATTGTAAGAACTTACCGATGCCTTCTCGAACTGACAAGTTGGGCCTGATCACGTCCCGCGAGTTCACGAGAAAGATATCTCCAATGTAGAGATGGTTTGTGGGAACGTAGATGCTGCAAAGTTCCTCGTCGCCAGATTCATTCTGGAAGATCACGCAACAAATGAGACAATGGGACGATGAAACGAAGCATTGGAGCTTTGAGCTTGATCAACCTGGAGAATGAGGCTAGACGTGATGAAACCAATCGCGTACTCTCCAACACGAGGGTGTCGTATGATCGCCACCTCCTTGAAAGCCTGGGTGTTTTGATCTGTAGGAAAGAACATTAGCAAAGCAAATCAAACTAATCCATCGTGCGAAGTTCCTCATACCTGGAGAGATCGCAGCACTGATTTGCTTGGACGCCGAGTATATGTGTCTCACGAGAGGCATACGTTTGATAACCCACTCGCCGACCATAAGAACCGACGCTCCCATCCACGACGAAACAAAAACTCCCACCAGGAATATGAAGACGATGGTGGTCACGAATCCAAGTCCTAAACAATTCGCGACAGAAATCTTAGAGATCAATGAATCCAGGCAAAGAACTCACCAAAGAAATTTATCCCCAGATGGGCATAGACCGGCCGGAAGAAGCTATCCACGAATTCCACAAACCACCAAGTGATGTAGAAGGTGATCGCCAGCGGAAAGAGGATCACACTGCAAAGGACAGACAGCAAGAACACATACGAAAAAAGAACTTAAATAGTATTCGTCTAGGCTAGAAAAAAAATTTCCTTCCTTGGAGGAGATGATAGAGAGTTCTTACCATCCACTCATGAATTTCTTGGACGCCCAGCTCTGGAGGACCGCGTAGAAAGCCTATAGAGGAAAGATTTCTCTCCGAAATTTCGTGGATTGAATCCCTTACCTCGCGGCCGGAGTGATACCCAGACGGCGTGGGCGCGCCCTCCTTAAGAGGATCCTCGAGGTCATTGCCGATAGGCATGAGCATCTCCCGGTCGCCTACCCGATCCACCGCCGCCGCCCTGGAAGGAGCTGATGGAGATGGAGAGGAAGAGGAGGAGGAGGAGGAGGAGGAGGAGATGGCGGCACCTTGAACTCCCATGCTCCAGCGCCACGGCGAGATCGATCGCGAGCGCGAAGTGGAGTAGGGCCGCCAATTGCGTAGCTTAAGCGACTCGTCCCAGCCTTGGAAGGTGCGCTGTTCGAATCTCCACGGTTAATTGACCTAAACATTCTGATCAACAAACCTCAAATTAATAGAAAGAACAATGAGGATAAAGGTTGTGAAATACAAAGAATAAAACTATTGTATATTTAATTAACTTAAAAACCTTAAATTAATCTCACTATATTAATAACATTATACCCCTTTGATTTCATATTATCCCCTGTTCACCAGGGTGAAAATTTTACCCCTTGTGTTTCGTTTTGCGTGGTAAAATGGCATGGAAAGCATTTAAGATTTTCTAGTTGATGGGTTAAGATTTTGAAAGAGTAGACATCAGTGGAATTTCTTCTTAATCTCTTTGTATAAAGCATTTCAAATGTTGCACATATATAGTTTTTGGAGGATTGATATCACGCAAAACATTATAAATTTGCAATCCAATTTGCTGTAACACTTTAAATAATCCCTTCCATTGAGTAAAGTAAATTGATAATGATGAAAGTTATAAAGCTCACTTTTGTTCTAATTTATCCTTATGCTTCTACCTCTTTTTCTATCACTTTTGTCTCATTATTATTTTTGTAAATGATTAATTTTTCCATTCAACTTTAGTCATTTAACCATACTTTTTGACCATTTGGAAGAATTTCACTCATAATCTCTATAAATCCTAACCCCATGAGTGGCTTCTACCTTTGCATTTAATCCACATGCTCTATGTGTTTAATCTTACTATAGACACCCAAAAATACCATTGACATATCAATCTGTTATGTGCACTCCAAGACCACTTATATTATAGTCTTATCTCCTAAAGACTCTCACCATCCATCTATGAGTGGTCATTTTATGACCACACTTTAAGATGCCCGAAGATATGAAAAACATTCTTTAATATCCTTTTTTCAGTCTCTACTAAATCCCTCTCTATCCATGGCAATACTCACAAATACTACCACTAGATTAATACCCAAGGGCCCGACCACTAAATCCCATTAACCTTTAACATTTCCTCACCATATAACTATACCTTGGTCATTATGCAAGAGGTTTATTTTTCTTCTTTTCTATAGTTTAGAACTTTGGGATGACATTTTAGAATACCGTAACTCTATACAAGTTTCATAGATACTCCCCCCACCTTCTACCTTTGAGTACCCTCACCACATGGCTAAAATGATGTTTCAATAAGCCATGTTAAATATCGAAGTAAGTAATATCACCCACACTTGGATTAGGAACATTAACCATTCAATCTTTTAGGGGAGCTAGAATTAATTTTTGAACACTTCACTAAATTACTCCACTTGTCCATTTGTATTCATTGTAGCATTAGACTCTTTAATAGTTATATCATCACCCACTATATAAATGTAGCCTTCTTGGGTTATATTGACCTTTCCTAGCTAAACTGGTTCCACTGAAGTCCAACTTCCACACTCTCTCTATCGTACTTTTGAACACCCTACACCCCACAGCCCAACTTCCCCCCCCCCGGAGGATGATTGCTTTGGGCTTTCACCCCACAATCTGTATTAGCATTTGGACTTGGTCTTGGACTTTGTTCAGACTTGAACTTAGACTTGAACTCAAATTCAGTCTAAGTTTTGATCTCAGTCTCAGTTTCAGACTCCATCTCAAACTTGGTCTTGGTCTCTATTCAGACACCTCAAACTCCATTTTGGACTCCATTTTGGATTCAGTCTTGATCCCTATTGGGGCTCTATTTCAAACTCCATCTTAAACTCCTTGAACTCGGTTTTGATACTTTTATATATCATGACACTTGCTATATGTTTGTCCTTCTTGTGTCCTTTTTCCAAAGACTCATTCATCAATTGCTTCATACTCATTCCCCGAGCACTTCGTTAGGAGTTCCATTCCTACTTTTAACTTTTCAAGTCATAAATTTTAGTCCAAATGTGTTACACTCATTGGACTCTCGCTTCGATCATTGCCATATAGCACACTTTTGACTTCAATGAGGTTTAGGGATTTGTGTCTCATAACTTTCTATTGTATTTCCATTTTGCTCTTAGATTCCTTTTTCAAATCCCTCAATTAATCTTTATGTTGCAAAAAATGATTAGCTCAAGGAGGAGTATGTTGATTTCTTTGACTTTGATCTATCATTTGGGGCCAAGATTAAAATATATCATCTTATTTCAATTAGGGTTGCTTGTTCAATTAAAGTTATCATTTGGTGTTGGTCATCAAAAGAGATTAAGATTTATACATAAATGTTAAAGAAATGTTGAAAAGGGATGTTATCCAAAAGTCTCAAGTCTTTAACTATATGAACCTTATCTTGTGATGAAGCTTTCTGCTCATAGAATGGCTACATATGCAAAGTAGCATTATATGTGGGGCACCACCAACACCCAAAAGAGATAAGTATTCTTTGATGAGAGTATTTAATTTTATATCATCTATCATTTATTAAATAAGGTGACTATCCCAAATATGTACCTTCTTCCTCATATTATTGATTTATTAAATCATTTGGGACAAGTAATTGATTTACCAAATTAAATCTTACTTTTAGGTACTCGTTGTTTATAATATGCCAAATGTGATTATTGACTTCATTGATGATATTTTGATCTATATGAAGGAAACATAGGAGGAGTATATCTGTGATATCTATAAGGTGTTAAATTGCCTATGGGAAATTAATTTAAAATTGAAGTGGTAAAAATGTGTGTTTGGGTCTTAAGACATCATTTATCTTAGATATTGTATTTCTTATAAAAGTTTATAAGTTGATCCTGGCAAAATTATGACTATCATAAAGTTTTTTACTCTAAAGTATATGAATGATGGGGAAGGTGTAATATATTTGCTGTTTTATTAATCATCTTTCTGGTTGTATTGCATTATTGCAAACATTTTTTAAGTCATCAATATTGTCTTTCATCTAGTTTAAAGACTACAAATGGGCATTTATAAATCTCAAAAAACTGTTTATAACTCCTCCAATTTTAGTTTATCTTGACCACACTTGACCTTTTATTTTATGCATAAATGCTTTTGATATTGGTCTTAAGGGTGTGTTGATATAAGACAACACAAGTGTGTTTAGTTAGCATAATCCCATTATGTATATCAATTATACCTTATAACTAATAGAGGTGAACTATATAAATAGCAAAAGGGAATGACTCGAGAGACGATATATAGGGGTTCAAATATAAAAAGAAAGGGCTTATGAATATTAATACACCTCAATTAAAAGTTTTTGGATATTTGGGGTTAAGCATCCTTAGGTTTGAATAATATTAGACTTCGTGACTTTTTAGGAAGTCCAAACTAAAGAGCTTATAAACTAGTCCCTTGCTCGCCCGTGCTAAATCTTGATTGCCCTTGCTCGTTGTGCCGTTCCCAAGCCAATCCTCCTCCTAACCCTAGCTCCCACCACCTCCTTTTTTGCTGCCCTGCTGCATTCCAAGAAGTCTTTGCTGATCCACCTCCCAATCCTTTGTAACAAACCCCTCCCCACCATGTCAGATCCCCTTGCCGAGTCATCCCTCCATGTGTTCTGCCTCACTTTGTTCTACAGGCTTGTTATTGGCCCCTACAGCTGTAGTGGTTCTTCCCCCCAATAAAATGGAGACACTTCCACGCGTTTCCCCTTATAGTCTTAGTGGTCTCCTACCTCAATTCTGATATAGAATGCCTGCTTTGCCATGCCCTCAGCCATTGCTGCATCACTGTTTAGCATCCTAGCTACCCAAATCAATGCTACCTAGTACTGTTGCATGGACTTGCCTCTCTTGAATTTGTGATCCCTCATCGTGAGGAAGGCACGTTCAGCAGGCTGTCCAAGCTGGAAGTGGCGGCGGCCACGTTGAATTGCCTCCTCCCAAGATTCCTCTTCAACTCCACTCCGATGGGCCATAAAAAGTTGTTGTGCTTCCCCTTCCAGAGCCATGCATAATCTCTCTCTCTCTACGACTTTGTTGTTGTGCACTGCACACTCAAAAATCTCCAGATAGAGCTCAAAGTCTTCTCCCATTTTGTATATAGGATACTTGACGCGAGCCGATGACAAAACTTCTGGGCAGAAAAGCGCCTTTCTCATTGTAACATTTCCCACTACTGCTAGCAGTTTGCCCAATCACCATGTGACCTAGGGGTCCTTCAAGAGTGCAACCATGGCTGCAGCCAAATGCTCGTTGTCAGCATTCTCCAGCAGCCTCTCAGTGCTTGCCTCCACTTGTGGTTCCTTAGACAGCCAGTTAGAAGCATCCTCCCTTTCCCTGAGTGGGAGTGGAGCATTCGAGTCCCCTTCGTGGCCAGATGCCCGTCCTCGTGATAGTGGAGATGCCATGCTTCTAGTTCATGCCAAATAAGAAAGGTGCCATGGCCCAAGCATGTCACTAGCACCTAGGGTAGATCACCAAGGTCCCCCCACCATTAGCCACCTTGACTTAGCTCATTCCTCAATAGGGTAGATCACCAAGATCCCCCCACCACTGGCCTCCTTGGCTCAGCTTATTCCTAGTGCCTAGGGTAGATCACCAAGATCCCCCCACCATTGGCCTCCTCAGCTCAGCTCATTCCTCAGCCCCTGGCTGGATGTATGGCAGCTCCAACCTTTGGATGCCATACCTTGTGACCAAACCTCTTGGTCACACTGGCTGTCCTAGCTAGGAAAGTTCCTTTAGCCATGTGTGTCCTCCATGTTACTGCACAATGCACTCATGCTTGAAATTTCAATCATGCTAGAAATGGAATTGAAAAGGAAAATTCATATAGACTCCAATATGCCCAGCCAGATGTGATGAGGTGCCCCTCATCTCCACCATAAAATGTGGACCCTCAACCAGAAAGAAAATTTAATAGTAATTTGGGATTTCAAGAAGCTTCATGTGTACTTATATAGTTCTTAAACATTATTCAAAGCTGATCATATTACAGTTACTTCATTATTAAAGTGGAAGAATTTAGTTGGTCGTACAACTTGATAGGTTCTAAACCTTTAAATATATAATTTTAAACTTGTTTATTTTTCAAGGAGTTTTATGGTTATTACTAATACCTT